AACACAGCCGGTTAGGATCATTAACACAGCTGGTTAGGATCATTAACAAGGCAGGTTAGGATCATTAACATGGCAGGTTAGGATCATTAACACAGCCGGTTAGGAGAATTAACACAGCCGGTTAGGAGAATTAACACAGCCGGTTAGGATCATTAACACAGCTGGTTAGGATCATTAACATGGCAGGTTAGGATCATTAACATGGCCGGTTAGGATCATTAACACAGCCGGTTAGGAGAATTAACACAGCCGGTTAGGAGAATTAACACAGCCGGTTAGGAGAATTAACACAGCCGGTTAGGATCATTAACACAGCTGGTTAGGATAATTAACATGGCAGGTTAGGATCATTAACATGGCAGGTTAGGATCATTAACATGGCAGGTTAGGATCATTAACACAGCCGGTTAGGATCATTAACATGGCAGGTTAGGATATTTAACATCGCAGGTTAGGATCATTAACACAGCCGGGTAGGATCATTAACACAGCCGGTTAGGATCATTAACACAGCCGGTTAGGAGAATTAACACAGCCGGTTAGGAGAATTAACACAGCCGGTTAGGAGAATTAACATGGCCGGTTAGGAGAATTAACACAGCCGGTTAGGAGAATTAACATGGCCGGTTAGGAGAATTAACACAGCCGGTTAGGAGAATTAACATGGCCGGTTAGGAGAATTAACACAGCCGGTTAGGAGAATTAACATGGCCGGTTAGGAGAATTAACATGGCAGGTTAGGATCATTAACACAGCCGGTTAGGATCATTAACATGGCAGGTTAGGATCATTAACACAGCCGGTTAGGAGAATTAACACAGCCGGTTAGGAGAATTAACACAGTCGGTTAGGATCATTAACACAGCCGGTTAGGATCATTAACACAGTCGGTTAGGATCATTAACACAGCCGGTTAGGATCATTAACACAGCCGGTTAGGAGAATTAACACAGCCGGTTAGGATCATTAACACAGCTGGTTAGGATCATTAACACAGCCGGTTAGGAGAATTAACACAGCCGGTTAGGATCATTAACACAGCTGGTTAGGATCATTAACATGGCCGGTTAGGATCATTAACACAGCCAGTTAGGATCATTAACATGGCAGGTTAGGATCATTAACATGGCAGGTTAGGATCATTAACACAGCCGGTTAGGAGAATTAACACAGCCGGTTAGGAGAATTAACACAGCCGGTTAGGAGAATTAACATGGCCGGTTAGGAGAATTAACATGGCCGGTTAGGAGAATTAACACAGCCGGTTAGGAGAATTAACACAGCCGGTTAGGAGAATTAACACAGCTGGTTAGGAGAATTAACACAGCCGGTTAGGAGAATTAACACAGCCGGTTAGGATCATTAACACAGCTGGTTAGGATCATTAACATGGCAGGTTAGGATCATTAACATGGCAGGTTAGGATCATTAACACAGCCGGTTAGGAGAATTAACACAGCCGGTTAGGAGAATTAACACAGCCGGTTAGGATCATTAACACAGCTGGTTAGGATCATTAACATGGCAGGTTAGGATCATTAACACAGCTGGTTAGGATCATTAACACAGCCGGTTAGGATCATTAACATGGCAGGTTAGGATCATTAACATGGCAGGTTAGGATCATTAACATGGCAGGTTAGGATCATTAACACAGCCGGTTAGGAGAATTAACATGGCAGGTTAGGATCATTAACATGGCAGGTTAGGATCATTAACACAGCCGGTTAGGAGAATTAACATGGCAGGTTAGGATCATTAACATGGCAGGTTAGGATCATTAACATGGCAGGTTAGGATCATTAACATGGCAGGTTAGGAGAATTAACATGGCAGGTTAGGATCATTAACATGGCCGGTTAGGATCATTAACATGGCAGGTTAGGATCATTAACACAGCCGGTTAGGAGAATTAACATGGCAGGTTAGGATCATTAACACAGCTGGTTAGGATCATTAACATGGCAGGTTAGGATCATTAACACAGCCGGTTAGGAGAATTAACACAGCCGGTTAGGATAATTAACATGGCAGGTTAGGATCATTAACACAGCTGGTTAGGATCATTAACACAGCCGGTTAGGATCATTAACATGGCATGTTAGGATCATTAACACAGCTGGTTAGGATCATTAACATGGCAGGTTAGGATCATTAACATGGCAGGTTAGGATCATTAACACAGCTGGTTAGGATCATTAACATGGCAGGTTAGGATCATTAACATGGCAGGTTAGGATCATTAACACAGCTGGTTAGGATCATTAACACAGCCGGGTAGGATCATTAACACAGCCGGTTAGGATCATTATAATGGCAGGTTAGGATCATTAACACAGCTGGTTAGGATCATTAACACAGCCGGTTAGGATCATTAACACAGCCGGTTAGGATCATTAACACAGCCGGGTAGGAGAATTAACACAGCCGGTTAGGAGAATTAACACAGCCGGTTAGGAGAATTAACACAGCCGGTTAGGAGAATTAACATGGCCGGTTAGGAGAATTAACACAGCCGGTTAGGAGAATTAACACAGCCGGTTAGGAGAATTAACATGGCCGGTTAGGAGAATTAACATGGCCGGTTAGGAGAATTAACATGGCAGGTTAGGATCATTAACACAGCCGGTTAGGATCATTAACACAGCTGGTTAGGATCATTAACATGGCAGGTTAGGAGAATTAACACAGCCGGTTAGGAGAATTAACACAGCCGGTTAGGATCATTAACATGGCAGGTTAGGATCATTAACACAGCTGGTTAGGATCATTAACATGGCAGGTTAGGATCATTAACACAGCCGGTTAGGATCATTAACATGGCAGGTTAGGATCATTAACACAGCTGGTTAGGATCATTAACATGGCCGGTTAGGAGAATTAACACAGCCGGTTAGGATCATTAACACAGCCGGTTAGGATCATTAACATGGCAGGTTAGGATCATTAACACAGCTGGTTAGGATCATTAACACAGCTGGTTAGGATCATTAACATGGCCGGTTAGGATCATTAACACAGCCGGTTAGGATCATTAACACAGCCGGTTAGGAGAATTAACATGGCCGGTTAGGAGAATTAACACAGCTGGTTAGGATCATTAACATGGCAGGTTAGGAGAATTAACACAGCCGGTTAGGAGAATTAACACAGCCGGTTAGGAGAATTAACATGGCCGGTTAGGAGAATTAACACAGCCGGTTAGGAGAATTAACACAGCCGGTTAGGAGAATTAACATGGCCGGTTAGGAGAATTAACATGGCCGGTTAGGAGAATTAACATGGCAGGTTAGGATCATTAACACAGCCGGTTAGGATCATTAACACAGCTGGTTAGGATCATTAACATGGCAGGTTAGGAGAATTAACACAGCCGGTTAGGAGAATTAACACAGCCGGTTAGGATCATTAACATGGCAGGTTAGGATCATTAACACAGCTGGTTAGGATCATTAACATGGCAGGTTAGGATCATTAACACAGCCGGTTAGGATCATTAACATGGCAGGTTAGGATCATTAACACAGCTGGTTAGGATCATTAACATGGCCGGTTAGGAGAATTAACACAGCCGGTTAGGATCATTAACACAGCCGGTTAGGATCATTAACATGGCAGGTTAGGATCATTAACACAGCTGGTTAGGATCATTAACACAGCTGGTTAGGATCATTAACATGGCAGGTTAGGATCATTAACATGGCCGGTTAGGATCATTAACACAGCCGGTTAGGATCATTAACACAGCCGGTTAGGATCATTAACATGGCAGGTTAGGATCATTAACATGGCAGGTTAGGATCATTAACATGGCAGGTTAGGATCATTAACATGGCCGGTTAGGAGAATTAACACAGCCGGTTAGGAGAATTAACATGGCAGGTTAGGATCATTAACACAGCTGGTTAGGAGAATTAACACAGCCGGTTAGGAGAATTAACACAGCCGGTTAGGAGAATTAACACAGCCGGTTAGGATCATTAACATGGCAGGTTAGGATCATTAACATGGCAGGTTAGGATCATTAACACAGCCGGTTAGGAGAATTAACACAGCCGGTTAGGAGAATTAACACAGCCGGTTAGGAGAATTAACATGGCAGGTTAGGATCATTAACATGGCAGGTTAGGATCATTAACACAGCTGGTTAGGATCATTAACATGGCAGGTTAGGATCATTAACACAGCCGGTTAGGAGAATTAACACAGCCGGTTAGGGTAATTAACATGGCAGATTAGTAGGACTAACGCAGCAGGTTAGGTGAATTAAAGTAGCAGGTTAGGAGAACTAATGCAGCAGATTAGGATAATGAATTTAGCAGGTTAGAAGGATGAGGTTAAGGTTAAGGTTAGGAAAAGGGTTAGGTTAAGGCTATAATGAAACAGTTGTTAACTGTTGTCCCCGACCTCACCACTAGATGGAGCTGTAGGCCTACTCCATCTAGCCACAACGGTAGAAATGTAAACAAACCATCTGTGGTGACAAATCATCAGTATCATAACACCAGAACAAAGAGCTGCAAGTTACGGTCTATGAGCCTCCCCTTCTGAAATTTGAAAGATGTTGACGCCTGCAGAATCATGATTTATCCAAATCCCCAGAACTAATGGCGCTCATTACCTCATGCATCTGGTTGTATCAGGACAGATCTACGCTACCAGTTATGTTGAAGTAGTCTGTCCACCAGAGATTACCCATATAGGACAATAGGACAGTGGTTCACTAACCTCTCCTCCGGGACCCCCAGCCGTTCCATGTATTTCACATATTCCAGAACCAGCACACCCGATTCAACTTGTTAATTAATCATCAAACCTTTGAATTGGTAAATCAGGTCAGTTAGTTCAGAGCTACAACAAAATCGTGAAACGTCTGTGGGTCCCCAAGTAGAGGCTAGAGAAACAGTGCAATAGGGAATGAGGGTGCCATTTGTGACGCAGATAACCCTCCTCTCTGTTCCAGGTACCAACCAGAGCATCCCAGCTCCTCGGCTTATCAGATGACCAGTACCGTGGAGGAGATGGAGCTGAGTGATGGTATCTCCGCCCCCAGCATGGGCGTCCTGCCTGGTGTAAAGGAACACTTCAGCCTGAAGACCGTCCTGTTCCCTGACAACACTGAACCCTCAGCCCTGTCCGGTTTCTCTGTCAACATCACTGTCAGCCTCATGGGTAAAGGAGGGGACAGGAAGCTACACAGAGACACACACATACACACAGAGACTTTCTCTCACACACATGTATGCAGGCAGGCACACAAACACACGCTCCTCTCCTCTCATCCCTCTCTCCTCTCTCCTCTCATCCCTCTCCACTCTCATCCCTTCCCCATCTCTCCTCTACTCTCCTCCTGCCCTCCTCTCCTGCCCTCCTCTCCTCTCCTCCTGCCCTCCTCTCCTGCCCTCCTCTCCTCTCCTCCTGCCCTCCTCTCCTGCCCTCCTCTCCTCTCCTCCTGTCCATCTCCTGCCCTCCTCTCCTCTCCTCCTGCCCTCCTCTCCTCTCCTCCTGACCATCTCCTCCTCTCCTCTCCTCTCCTCCTGCCCTCCTCTCCTGCCCTCCTCTCCTCTCCTCCTGCCCTCCTCTCCTCTCCTGCCCTCCTCTCCTCTTCTCCTGACCATCTCCTCCTCTCCTCTCCTCTCCTCCTGTCCATCTCCTGCCCTCCTCTCCTGCCCTCCTCTCCTGTTCTCCTCTCCTCCTATAGGTCTTCTGATCCTGGTGTTCAGTATACTAGCAGTACAGGGAGGATTTGCAGTGTGGAACATCGTAGCTCTGACCGTCATCTTCATAGTGTGTCTACTCCTCACCTTCATCATCTGGAGACAACCAGAGAGCAAGACCAAGCTGTCCTTTAAGGTGTGTATACAATACCTAACCTAACCCCACCAAGACCCAAACCCCACCAAGACCCTAACCCCACCAAGAACCTAACCCCACCAAGACCCTAACCCCACCAAGACCCTAACCCCACCAAGACCCTAACCCCACCAAGGCCCTAACCCCACCAAGACCCTAACCCCACCAAGACCCTAACCCCACCAAGACCCTAACCCCACCAAGGCCCTAACCCCACCAAGACCCTAACCCCACCAAGGCCCTAACACCACCAAGACCCTAACACCAAGACCCTAACCCCACCAAGACCCTAACCCCACCAAGACCCTAACCCCACCAAGACCCTAACCCCACCAAGACCCTAACACCAATACCCTAACCCCACCAAGACCCTAACCCCACCAAGACCCTAACCCCACCAAGACCCTAACCCCACCAAGACCCTAACCCCACCAAGACCCTAACCCCACCAAGACCCTAACACCAAGACCCTAACACCAAGACCCTAACCCCACCAAGACCCAAACCCCACCAAGACCCTAACCCCACCAATACCCTAACCCCACCAAGACCCTAACCCCACCAAGACCCTAACCCCACCAAGACCCTAATCCCACCAAGACCCTAACCCCACCAAGACCCTAATCCCACCAAGACCCTAACCCCACCAGACCCTAACCCACCAAGACCCTAACCCACCAAGACCCTAACCCACCAATACCCTAACCCCACCAGACCCTAACCCCACCAAGACCCTAACCCCACCAAGACCCCTAACCTCACCAAGACCCTAACCCCACAAGACCTAACCCCACCAAGACCCCTAACCCCACCAAGACCCTACCACCACCAAGACCTAATCCCACCAAGACCCTAACCCCCCTACCAAGACCCTAACCCCACCAAGACCTAAACCCCACCAAGAACCTAACCCCAAGACCCTAAACCCACACCAAGACCCATACCCCACCAAGACCCTAACCCCACCAAGACCCTAACCCCACCAAGACCCAACCACCCACCAAGACACTAACCCCACCAAAGAACCTAACCCCACCAAGACCTAACCCCACCAAGACCCTAACCCCACCAAGACCCTAACACCAAGACCCTAAACACCAAGACCCTAACCCCACCAAGACCCTAACCCCCACCAAGACCCTAACCCCAAGACCCTAACCCCCAAGACCCTAACCCCACCAAGACCCTAACCCCCACAGACCCTAACCCCACCAAGACCCTAACCCCACCAAGACCCTAACCCCACCAGACCCTAACCCCACCAATACCCTAACCCCACCAATACCCTAACCCACCAAGACCCTAACCCCACCCAAGACCCTAACCCCCACCAAGACCCTACTCCCACCAAGACCCTAACCCCACCAAGACCCTAATCCCACCAAGACCCCTAACCCCACCAAGCCCTAACCCCACCAAGACCCTAACCCCACCAATACCCTAACCCCACCAAGACCCTAACCCCACCAAGACCCTAACCTCACCAAGAACCCTAACCCCACCAAGACCCTAACCCCACCAAGACCCTAACCCCACCAAGACCCTACCCCACCAAGACCCTAATCCCACCAAGACCCTAACCCACCAAGACCTAACCCCACCAAAACCCTAACCCCACCAAGACCCGAACCCCACCAGACCTAACCCCAAGACCCTAAACCACCAAGACCCTAACCCCCACCAAGACCCTAACCCCACCAAGACCCTAACCCCACCAACCCTAACCCCACCAAGACACTAACCCCAACCAAGACCCTAACCCCACCAAGACCTTAACCCCAAGACCAAGCTGCCCTTTACTAAAACCTCTCACCCCACCAAGATAAAGCATATTGGACCCCCAAAACTCTCTCTGTCACTAACATACCAGACCAAACCTCCAACCCCATAATAAAACCTCCCACCCCATACTAAAACCTCCCACCCCATACTAAAACCTCCAACCCATACTAAAACCTCCCACCCCATACTAAAACCTCCAACCCCATACTAAAACCTCCAACCCCATACTAAAACCTCCCACCCCATACTAAAACCCTCCCACCCCATACTAAAACCTCCCACCCCCATACTAAAAACCCTCCCACCCCATACTAAAAACCTCCCACCCCATACGAAAAACCTCCAACCCCATACTAAAACCTCCAACCCCATACTAAAACCTCCACCCCATACTAAACCCCCCACCCCATACTAAAACCTCCCCCCCCATACTAAAAACCTCCCACCCCATACTAACAACCTCCAACCCCATACTAAACAACCTCCAACCCCATACTAAAACCTCCCACCCCATACTAAAACCTCCAACCCCATACTAAAACCTCCAACCCCATACTAAAACCTCCCACCCCATACTAAAACCTCCCACCCCATACTAAAGCCTCCAACCCCATCCTAAATCTCCAACCCCATACTAAAACCTCCAACCCCAACCCCATACTAAAACCCCCAACCCCATACTAAAACCTCCCACCCCATACTAAAACCTCCAACCCCCAACCCCATACTAAAACCTCCAACCCCCATACTAAAAACCTCCAACCCCATACTAAAAACCTCCAACCCCATACTAAAACCCCAACCCCCATACTAAAACCTCCAACCCCATACTAAAACCTCCCACCCATACTAAAACCCCCACCCCATACTAAAACCTCCCAACCCCATACTAAAACCTCCAACCCATACTAAAACCTCCAACCCCATACTAAACCCCAACCCCCATACAACAAACCTCCAACCCCATACTAAAACCCCCCACCCCATACTAAACCTCCCAGCCCATACTAAAACCCCCAAACCCCATACTAAAACCTCCCACCCCCATACTAAAACCTCCAACCCAACCCCAATACTAAAACCCCCCAACCCCATACTAAAACCTCCCACCCCCATACTAAAACCTCCCACCCCATACTAAAACCCCCAACCCCAACCCCATACTAAAACCTCCAACCCCAACCCCATACTAAAACCCCCAACCCCATACTAAAACCTCCCACCCCATACTAAAACCTCCCACCCCATACTAAAACCCCCAACCCCAACCCCATACTAAAACCTCCAACCCCAATACTAAACCTCCCACCCCATACTAAAACACCCCAACCCCACCCCATACTAAACCTCCAACACCATACTAAAACCCCCAACCCCATACTAAAACTCCCACCCCATACTAAAACCTCCCACCCCATACTAAAACCTCCAACCCCACCCCATACTAAAACCTCCAACCCCATACTAAAACCTCCAACCCCATACTAAAACCTCCAACCCCATACTAAAACCTCCAACCCCATACTAAAACCCCCAACCCCATACTAAAACCTCCAACCCCATACTAAAACCTCCCACCCCATACTAAAACCTCCCACCCCATACTAAAACCTCCAACCCCATACTAAAACCTCCAACCCCATACTAAAACCTCCAACCCCATACTAAAACCTCCAACCCCATACTAAAACCTCCAACCCCATACTAAAACCCCCCACCCCATACTAAAACCTCCCAGCCCATACTAAAACCCCCAACCCCATACTAAAACCTCCCACCCCATACTAAAACCTCCAACCCCAACCCCATACTAAAACCCCCAACCCCATACTAAAACCTCCCACCCCATACTAAAACCTCCCACCCCATACTAAAACCCCCAACCCCAACCCCATACTAAAACCTCCAACCCCAACCCATACTAAAACCCCCACCCCATACTAAAACTCCCACCCCATACTAAAACCTCCCACCCCATACTAAAACCCCCAACCCCAACCCCATACTAAAACCTCCAACCCCATACTAAAACCTCCCACCCCATACTAAAACCCCCAACCCCAACCCCATACTAAAACCTCCAACCCCATACTAAAAACCCCCAACCCCCATACTAAAACCTCCCACCCCATACTAACACCTCCCACCCCATACTAAAAACCTCCAACACCCAACCCCATACTAAACCTCCAACCCCATACTAAAACCTCCACCCCATACTAAACCTCCAACCCCATACTAAAACCTCCCACCCCCCATACAAAAACCTCCAACCCCATACTAAACTCCACCCCCATACTAAAACCCGCCCACCCCACCCATACTAAAACCTCCCACCCCATACTAAAACCTCCCACCCCACCAAGATGAAGCACATTGAACTCCCAAATAACCTCATAGCTCTTACCCTTCTGCCCATCTAGACTGTTTTGAAGGATCCTGCCAATTCCACATACTCCTCCCAATTACCCTCTGGAGACGCCCCCTCTCCTGCCAACTCGCCACACCCGAACCCACTGCGATAATCACTGTTCCTCTCCCTTTGTTCTCATTTCCACGGGAGAATCTCAATGACATCCTCCTCGCATCCTGTGCCTTGTTAGTTTAGTAATACATTAACCAGAACTATAAACCTTTTCTTTAATCATCATTCCTGCATTCTGAAAGATGTGTCATAGTGTGTGAACGTTAAAGCATTTGTTGGCTGCACTCTGCGGTCCAACTCATCCCAAACCATCTCAATTGGGTTGAGGTTGAGTGATTGTGGAGGCCAGGTCATGCACTCCATCCATCACTCTCCTTCTTGGTCAAATAGCCCTTACACAGCCTGAAGGTGTGTTTTGGGTCTTGTCCTGTTGAAAAACAAATGATAGTCCCACTAAGCCCAAACCAGATGGGATGGCGTATCTTTGCAGAATGCTGTGGTAGCCATGCTGGGTAAGTGTGCCTTGAATTCTAAATAAATCACTGACAGTGTCACCAGCAAAGCACCATCACACCTCCTCCATGCTTCACGGTGGGAACAACACAAATGCGGAGATCATCCGTTCACCTACTCTGCGTCTCACAAAGACACGGCGGATGGAACCAAAAATCTCAAATTTGGACTCATCAGACCAAAGGACAGATTTCCACTGGTCAAATGTCCATTGCTCGTGTTTCTTGGCCTAAGCAAGTCTCTTCTTCTTATTGGTGTCCTTTAGTAGTGGTTTCTTTGCAGCAATTCGACCATGAAGGCCTGATTCACATAGTCTCCTCTGAACAGTTGATGTTGAGATGTGTCTGTTACTTCAACTCTGTGAAGCATTTATTTGGGCTGCAATCTGAGGTGCAGTTAACTCTAATGAACTGATCCTCTGCAGCAGAGGTAACTCTGGGTCTTCCTTTCCTGTGCTGGTCCTCATTAGAGCCAGTTTCATCATAGCGCTTGATGGTTTTTGCGACTGCACTTGAAGAAACTTTCAAAGTTCTTGAAATGTTCCATATTGTCTGCCCTTCATGTCTTAAAGTAATGATGGACTGTCATTTATTTCTGCTTATTTGAGCTGTTCTTGCCAGAATATGGACTTGGTCTTTTACCAAATAGGGCTATCTTCTGTATACCCCCCCTACCTTGTCACAACACAACTGATTGGCTCAAACGCATTAAGAAGGAAAGAAATTCCACAAATTAACTTTTAAGAAGGCACACCTGTTAATTGAAATGCATTCTAGGTGACTACCTCATGAATCTGGTTGAGAGAATGCCAAGAGTGTGCAAAGCTGTCATCAAGGCAAAGGGTGGCTATTTGAAGAATCTCAAATATAAAATATATTTTGATTTGTTTAACACTTTTTTGGTAACTGACTAACTGACCTCTACATTATATTTTGTATTTGACCTCTGACCCCTTAAGGTGCCCCTGCTGCCGTTCATCCCAGTGGTCAGCATGTTTGTCAACGTCTACCTGATGATGCAGCTGGACAGAGGCACCTGGATACGCTTCGCTGTCTGGATGGCTATAGGTAAGAAACCATTTTCTATAACAATGTCACAACTATACATTTCATGAAACTGTTTGGATGGCTATAGGTAAGAAACCGTTTTCTATAGCAAGGTCATCTCTATAGAGATATCCTCTTCCAATACATTATTAACCCCAGGGCAGTGATTGGGGACATTGCCCTGTGTAGGGTTAGGGTGCCGTGTTTCGGATGGGACGTTAAACCGGTGTCCTGACTCTCTGTGGCCAATAAAGATCCCATGGCACTTATAGTAAGGGTGTTAAACCCAGTGTCCTAATCTGGCCCTCATACCATCATGGCCACTTAATCATCCCCAGCTTCTGATTGGCTCATTCATCCTCCCTCCTCTCCCCTGTAACTATTCCCCAGGTCGTTGCTGTAAATGAGAATATGTTCTCTGTCAACTGACCTGGTGAAATAAGGACTGAAATAAATCAAATACAATAAATAAAATATATCCTCTTCCAAGACATTACATTATTAACCCCTCTGTTCATTGCAGGGTTTGTGATCTACTTTGGCTACGGTATTCACCACAGTGCTGAGGTGGCTCTGGCCTGCTCCTCTCCTGAATCTGATGTGGAGCTGAACGGCTACAAGCCCAGCCACTCACACAACAGGGAGCCCATGTCTCCTGAGAAAGAGGCGTTTCTACATAATGGGCTGGAGGACCGGGGAGAGGAGGACGGAGACTTGTAGAGCGCTAGGACCCAGCAGACACCTGCCATAGCCTGCCCTGCCCTGCCCTGACCAGCCTACATACCACACCTCAACACGCCCCTTTGGAACGTTTGTCTGTCTGGAACCTTTATCAACAGGATAGAACCCTCTTGGAATGAACCGTCTCATTTTGGGATGTACCATGTCGTTTTTTAACAGGGTCCTGAAAAACACCCGGCTTTAGACTTACGCACATGTAGTTTCTCGCAGGTGTTCCTGGGTAGGAAAAACAAATGTCTAATGCAGAAAGAAAAGAGTAGAGAAAGCAGGAGTGATCTACTGCAGAGAGGATATACTGCTGTTCCTGAGGGGTTTCCTACTACAGACAGGAGAACCATACCAACCCAGGGAAACCTAGAGAAACTGAGCAGACATCTTGGATCTTATCCTCCTCCATTTTGGGGAGAGTGTGGGTTGATGTGGTGGGTAGTGTAATGTTGCTGTTAGGGACTGGGTTTGACTGGACCCACTGGGCACACACTGGTTGAATCAACGTTGTTTCCAAGTCATTTCAATGAAGTTACGTTGAATTAACGTGGAATAGACGTTGAATTGACGTCTGTGCGCAGTGGGGAGGCTCTACTAACTGGCACATGGTTCTCTCACAGCTCAGGAAGGATTGAGTGCCATTTCCAATACAGGATTTTATACCCTCAAAGAAACAAAAATACACTTTAGGGGCTTTGTCCTTCTACATGCGAAAGAGATGGTGGTCTCAGCATGACTCTCTGCTTAAATAAAGGTTAATAAAAAGGTGGTGTTATACAATGAACAAAAACACAAATCTGTTGGTTAAAATTCAAATGTATTGGTTGGGGCTAAAGTTGTGCATTGAGGTTGAGCACGCCATCCGGGTTGTCACGAGGGAGAGATTTATCACTGAGTCACTCAGATGACTTTTGGAACTGAGTGACTACGATGGCTAGCCATGGAAACCCTGTCTGGTAGCCATGGAAACCCTGTCTGGTAGCCATGGAAACCCTGTCTGGTAATCTTCAAGATAATCATACTGTTTGATGAGGCATATCTATACTCTCAACACTTTCAGAGTATTGTCAAACTGCTGTCGACACTAGGATATACGTTATGATAACTGCCATTAGATCTGCCAAAACCAGGGATGTGATGAACTATATATGTGTGTTTCCTCTGAAACGGTTATCTGGTGTTTAGCATTTTTCTAGTCTGAAGTGTTCCATCCTCCTCTAGCAGGACATAGGCTTGTTGTAAAGTTCTGTGATCCCCCGTCTCACTGTGATGTAGGGAACAGGGATCACCACTAGAGGCCGCTGTGATGTAGGGAACGTGGATCACCACTAGAGGCCGCTGTGATGTAGGGAATGTGGATCACCACTAGAGGCCGCTGTGATGTAGGGAATGTGGATCACCACTAGAGGCCGCTGTGATGTAGGGAACGTGGATCACCTCTAGAGGCCGCTGTGATGTAGGGAACGTGGATCACCACTAGAGGCCGCTGTGATGTAGGGAATGTGGATCACCACTAGAGGCCGCTGTGATGTAGGGAATGTGGATCACCACTAGAGGCCGCTGTGATGTAGGGAATGTGGATCACCACTAGAGGCCGCTGTGATGTAGGGAATGTGGATCACCACTAGAGGCCGCTGTGATGTAGGGAACGTGGATCACCTCTAGAGGCCGCTGTGATGTAGGGAACGTGGATCACCACTAGAGGCCGCTGTGATGTAGGGAATGTGGATCACCACTAGAGGCCGCTGTGATGTAGGGAATGTGGATCACCTCTAGAGGCCGCTGTGATGTAGGGAACGTGGCTCACCACTAGAGGCCGCTGTGATGTAGGGAACGTGGATCACCACTAGAGGCCGCTGTGATGTAGGGAACGTGGATCACCACTAGAGGCCGCTGTGATGTAGGGAACGTGGCTCACCACTAGAGGCCGCTGTGATGTAGGGAACGTGGATCACCACTAGAGGCCGCTGTGATGTAGGGAACGTGGCTCACCACTAGAGGCCGCTGTGATGTAGGGAACGTGGCTCACCACTAGAGGCCGCTGTGATGTAGGGAACGTGGATCACCACTAGAGGCCGCTGTGATGTAGGGAACGTGGATCACCACTAGAGGCCGCTGTGATGTAGGGAACGTGGCTCACCACTAGAGGCCGCTGTGATGTAGGGAATGTGGATCACCACTAGAGGCCGCTGTGATGTAGGGAACGTGGCTCACCACTAGAGGCCGCTGTGATGTAGGGAACGTGGCTCACCACTAGAGGCCGCTGTGATGTAGGGAACGTGGATCACCACTAGAGGCCGCTGTGATGTAGGGAACGTGGATCACCACTAGAGGCCGCTGTGATGTAGGGAACGTGGCTCACCACTAGAGGCCGCTGTGATGTAGGGAATGTGGATCACCACTAGAGGCCGCTGTGATGTAGGGAACGTGGCTCACCACTAGAGGCCGCTGTGATGTAGGGAACGGGGCTCACCACTAGAGGCCGCTGTGATGTAGGGAATGTGGATCACCACTAGAGGCCGCTGTGATGTAGGGAATGTGGATCACCACTAGAGGCCGCTGTGATGTAGGGAATGTGGCTCACCACTAGAGGCCGCTGTGATGTAGGGAACGTGGATCACCACTAGAGGCCGCTGTGATGTAGGGAACGTGGCTCACCACTAGAGGCCGCTGTGATGTAGGGAACGTGGCTCACCACTAGAGGCCGCTGTGATGTAGGGAACGTGGCTCACCACTAGAGGCCGCTGTGATGTAGGGAACGTGGCTCACCACTAGAGGCCGCTGTGATGTAGGGAACGTGGCTCACCACTAGAGGCCGCTGTGATGTAGGGAACGTGGCTCACCACTAGAGGCCGCTGTGCATTACACATCATCAGTAGACCTTCCAGGGGGTCTCCAACCCTGTTCCCGGAGAGCTTCCTGTAGGTTTTTTGCTCCGACCCCAGTTGTAACTAATCTGATTCAGTTAATCAACCAGCACACAATCATTAGAGTCAGGTACATTAGCGGTCTAGGAACAGGGTTGGAGAGATTCACGTCTATAGATTCACGTCTGTAGATTCACGTCTATAGATTCACCTCTATAGATGATGTCATCCTATTCCCTTGAAGCCTGGTGATACCAGCCCAATGATTATGAATGGGTGAATAGTAACAGATAATTTGTTAATATTGATAACCAATGGTTGAATATCGATACATGAAATGTGAGTGTTAAAACTGCTAGGTGAATATTGACAGGTGATTCATTGTCACAGTGCTGGTTGCTGTGTGTAACTGCATCCATGCATTTAATGTAAGGCAGGCATTTAATCCCAGGCACGTTGTAGTGTGCTTAAAATTTAAAGGTAATTTTCAATTGAGCAGACATGCAGTGTTTACGGTGAATGTGATCTCCGCAAATGCAGGAGCATTGCCTTTAAAAACGGAGCTCTACAACACGGCTCAGATTGAATCAGGGCCCTTAATACTGCTGTGGTCACTTCTTATAGAAACATGGAAAAGGTTTTATGAATAAGCTGAATGGTCTGGGTGGTGTTTGTGCTTTATAGATTAGTGTATTATTACATATCTGGCTACATCTTTAAATACCTTTTACTTCTAAACACTTCCAGAAATCTGTTTTATTCTACCCTGGAGGTGGCTGGAAGGATGATAGGTGTCCCTGGAGGTAGCTGGAAGGATGATAGGTGTCCCTGGAGGTAGCTGGAAGGATGATAGGTGTCCCTGGAGGTAACTGGAAGGATGATAGGTGTCCCTGGAGGTAACTGGAAGGATGATAGGTGTCCCTGGAGGTAACTGGAAGGATGATAGGTGTCCCTGGAGGTAACTGGAAGAATGATAGGTGCCCTGGAGGTGGCTGGAAGGATGATAGGTGTCCCTGGAGGTAGCTGGAAGGATGATAGGTGTCCCTGGAGGTAACTGGAAGGATGATAGGTGTCCCTGGAGGTAACTGGAAGGATGATAGGTGTCCCTGGAGGTAACTGGAAGGATGATAGGTGTCCCTGGAGGTAACTGGAAGGATGATAGGTGTCCCTGGAGGTAACTGGAAGGATGATAGGTGTCCCTGGAGGTAACTGGAAGGATGATAGGTGTCCCTGGAGGTAGCTGGAAGGATGATAGGTGTCCCTGGAGGTAACTGGAAGGATGATAGGTGTCCCTGGAGGTAGCTGGAAGGATGATAGGTGTCCCTGGAGGTAACTGGAAGGATGATAGGTGTCCCTGGAGGTAACTGGAAGGATGATAGGTGTCCCTGGAGGTAACTGGAAGGATGATAGGTGTCCCTGGAGGTAGCTGGAAGGATGATAGGTGTCCCTGGAGGTAGCTGAAAGGATGATCGGTGTTCTTGTAGAATTGTAGTTAGGTTATGCTAGCTAAATTAAAAGTCCATGATAGAATGATAATATTAACATAAGAACAATTGTTAATCAAGTTTATTGTACTGATATTGGCCCAGTTACATGTTTAATAATCTATTAAAGAGAAATATACATATTATTCCTATTCTAAAATGAATTAAATTGTTTTTTTCCCTCATCAATCTACACAATGATGATGAAGCAAAAAATTATTTTTTAGACATTTCTGCCAATTTATAAAAAATAAAAAACTGAAATATGACATTTACATAAGTATTCAGACCCTTTACTCAGTACTTTGTTGAAGCACCTTTGGCAGTGATTACAGCCTCGAGTCTTCTTGGGTATGACGCTAAAAGCTTGGCACACCTGTATTTGGGGAGTTTCTCCCATTCTTCTCTGCAGATCCTCTCAAGCTCTGTCAGGTTGGATGGGGAACGTCGCTGCACAGCTATTTTCAGTCCGGGCTCTGGCTGGGCCACTCAATGACATTCAGAGACTTGTCCCAAAGCCATTCCTACGTTGTCTTGGCTCTGTGATTAGGGTCGTTGTCCTGTTGAAAGGTGAACCTTCACCCCAGTCTGAGGTCCTGAGCACTCTGGAGCAGGTTTTCATCAAGAATCTCTCTGTACT